GTCTCTCTCTCTCTCTCTCTCTCTCTCTCTCTCTCTCTCTCTCTCTCTGCTGTGCAGGGTCACTGCCTGCCCTGCTCCCTCTCTGGCTCCCAGAAGACCACATGCTACCTCTGTGTCATTCGTAAATTGGAGTCTATCCTAAGTCACGTCAAACTGCCGATTTCAGGACTGGGATGTGTTTTAAAAAACAAACAAACAAAAAACCTTAAAGTCCACTTTGTACCTTAGATTTTAAAACTGGGTAGAAATGTAATGTACATTGGACCACTTTTTTAATTTCTATAAGCCTTAATGAACAGTGTATATACATTTGTGTATGCACACTCCACCCCAGAGTGTTTTCAGTGTGCCAGAGAAGAAGCTGTAATGTTAGGACATTAGCCTGTCTAGTGTTTCCTAGGAAAGGAGTAGCTTTCTGCTGGTGTGACATTTTCTAAGGAAAGTACTGACTCAGCACCTACCCTTAGTTAGAAATGTCGACGCTCCAAGCACGAATTTGAAGCGCATGTATCTTTACCGGTTTCATGTTTGTAAGAAGCAGCAGTAGGAACCTAAGAGCGACTGTCGGTGTGTAACCTCTGATGCTCTGCATTCCCTCCACTGTGTCTCCTTGTATTGAAAGCCTCTCCTGTGACCACAGCCTGTGTTGACAGATGTCTGTCCTTGTGCAAGCCAATCTATGCCTCAGACTGAGACTGATGTATCTATCCTACGTTGTCACAATTTCCTTCCTGTTAACTCTGTGACTGTTCTTCCTTTTGCTACCCTGGATGTAACATACATACATATATGTGTGTGTGTGCTATCCAAATATATTTGTATATATTTGTATAGCATTTTTACACTTTAGGAGTAATCTGGAATTCAAAGGGGAACGAGTGCTTACTCCCTTCCACAGTTTTCTCCGAGTCCTGTCCTGAGAATTCTGACCCTTGGCACCTGAGAGAACCCTAGAAGGACATTATTAACTTGCTTTCATTTCTGAATTCAGGATCTGTTATCAAATGAAACATTTTTTAAAAGTGACTCTAAAGGCAAAAAGAGTTTCAAGCATTCCAAATGAATTCTCAATGTTTCCTAACTTTTTATTATGCCTCCCCCCACCTCCTAACACAAAGCTGAGTGCTATTTGATACAATAGTCAAAACCAAACTACCTTGACATTTTTCTAGGACAGCTTAATTGGCTGATGGCTCGTTTTCACAGTCCAGGGAGCTTTAACATAGCTTGAATCTGGTACACGCATAAAGTTTTACGGTCAAGTCCTTTTCTTTCTTCTTGAGAGACCTGAAGAGATACTGTAGCTTGTTTTCAAATGGGAACTGTGACAAAGTGAAGTCGTTGTAAAGCGGTGATACAACTTGTCAAATATTTAATAAAGAATTATGGAAGCTGGAACATTTCCTACATAAGTATTATGGGTTGTCTGGTTTAAAGCTTCTTCGGGAATGTATCATTTCAATCAAGTCAGCTATTTAAATGACTGCAGATTTAAGATGTGATCATTTCCTACATCTCCCGTACCAGCCCCACCTTAGGGATGACGTCTGCCCTGAGTACTCATTTGCCCCCATCCACATGCTGGGTTTTGTCTTTTTTATTAAACCCAAGCATTGCCCACTTTATACAGCGCTCATGAGCCTAATTCTCCATCCCCAGGAAAAGCAAACTGACTTCACCTCTGCTTTTCCAATGTGCCCCGGACTTTGGAACAATAAATGACATTAGCAACCAAACCACAGTAGTTCTCAGAAAGATGGTCTGGGTATCCAGACATATGTCAGGTTTTCCACTAAAATTCAATCTCTTGGGACTGGAGAGATGCTCAGTGGTTAAGAGCACTCACTGGCTCCTTTTCATTAGCCAATTAGTGCTTTCCCAGATAACCTGCATTCCCTATTAGGGGCTGCTTGGGCCCAGGGCTGGAGAGAAGGCTCACTGCTTCAAAGAGCTTCCTTTCAGCACAATACCTTTGCAATGGCTGCCCAG